TTCTAAGATTTTTTTAAATGGGATACTTCAGATTTTCTACATACAATATTATTTTATCTGAAAAATGGGGATAATTTATTTATTTTACAAACTAGATTCTTTGATTTATTTTTGTTGCATAATTACTGCATCTAGTACTCACAACATTCTGGAGTATTGGAAATACTATGAAAATGGAGTGGATATAGTGGGCATCCTTGCCTTCTGCTTGATCTCTAAGGTTTTCAGTATTGAATACAATGTTAGCTAGGAGGGGAGAGAGGAGAGAAGAGAGGGAAGGAAAGAGGAGGGGTGGGGAGGAGGATCCAGTGTGAGGCTCTGAAGTGGGGAAGAGAGGAGAATTAACTGCATAAACTCTTCCAAAAGGCAAGGTCATGAAAAAAGTCCGTGTCATACAAATGGCAGACCATATATGTAATATTAACTTGAGAGGAAGATTGAGGGGTACAAGACACGTTAAAGGAAAGATAGAGAAGGATTGTGTGCATATAGTTCTTCTCTGAAAAATCTTAAAGGAGTCCAGTTCGCTCTAACCATAGATGCCTGTTAATATGTTATAGAAGGAATATTACTTTGATTGATATAGTGACTGATCCATCACATTGTATAATGTCTTCTGGGGAAAGCTTAGGTCACTTTCAGGAGGTTATAAATAATATTTTAATAATTTTTCCTATAGACATTAATGCTTATAAATGTATTCAAATTTTGATGTAGTAAACAAAGGTAATAACACTCACAGTGGACATGCATTGTACACCTGTGTGCTTGAGCATAAATGATCTACGTAAATGCTATGAAAGATTCAATGGTATGCAAAAATTATTTGAACTTTATAGTTTCAGAGGCAAAGCTGAGAGAAGTCAGTTGACTTATTCAGAACCAACAGTGAATGGCTGACAGAGTCTGGCATCCAGTCCTGTCTGGAAAGACATTGGCTGCATTGAAGTTGGAGCATATCTCAGTCATTCATCCTTCGAGCTGGAACTCTGGGCAGGCAAACATCTGTCAGGATGCCCCTGATACTTCGGTCACTCTCAGGTGGCTACACAGGCTCAGTGCCTCCAGTCCACACATGAGATCCTCCCCAAGATCTCTTTGGACTGAGGCAATTATCCTATTTTCCTTCCTTAACCAGGAGCTTAGGGACTTTTCACTTAGCCTTCTCTATGTTTATAAAGTTCTATTCTTGTTTCTTTGGAGTAAAGGACGGCACAGAAAGGTCAGACGTTTATGGGTTCACAGATGCTTTCCTCTTGCCCGTTTTTTCTGGTATCTAGGACAGAAGTTGATAAGAATTTTAATAGGATATAAAATAAGAATTTTGTGAGCTTGGAATTGCTGAGGTTGGAATGAGCTGGAAGTCTTGCTGAGCGAAGTGAGTCTCATGTGTTAGAGGTCTGTACATGTATTTACTGTTCAAGCCTATGTGCAAATCTAGCACTTGGGTAACATGGATATATGAATGTTTCTTCAAAAGTTGTGTCTCTATATGTGTGACATCTGACTTATAATATAGATTTTTAAAAGAGAGAAGAAAGATGGAGGGAGAGAGAAACTTAGAAGACAGAGGCATGTGTCTGACTCAATGTTTGTTCCCTCCACTCAGAGCACACAGCACCAAATAAGCTACCATTAAACAGAAGAAGAGAAGTTCTGAGTGTGGTTTGGAGTCTCATCATCAACTAACAAAAGCCCCTTTGTTCACTTCCAGATTCTTATCTTTTTACGCAAATATCAAAGATAAGTAAAGACATTGCATTGTCTGCAGAGACAGAGGTGTGTGCTCGTTATGGAGTAGAAGTTTCTTTAATACACCATGACTGGCATAGGGGAAGAAGCTTGAAATCTAGTTTGTGGAAGTTTGGAATCCCTCAAGTAATCTCAGGGATGCTGCTTTATGTAATATCGCATTTTTTATGGGTTATCTTCATGTGTTGCACTAAGGTTGATGTGTTTTTGAGTAATTGATGAACGTCTTATTGTCAGGCAGTATTTTAGTTGTGGTATCTGTGAACAAAAGCTGGCTGTGTGCCTCATCCACAGCTACTTTAAGAGACTGTCAGTAGTGGCTGTTATACTGCCTGGAGCATTTAGGCTTATATGCCTTTTAACCTCTAATAGTGCATCACACAATAATTACTAGGACACCAATGGCTCAGTAGTTTAGTAGGGATCCAATCATCAGCCTGTACTTCTCTTTGAATTTCCTAAGGTTCAGTTTCCAGCTGATAAAAAAATAAGCTAATCCTTGATCACAATGCTATTTTGAGAATTTAATTGGACTATGTACAAAATTATTAAGCATCATATTTTATGCATCACATTATTAAGAATATTTTCTTGTTTTTCTCCAAATCAAGTGCTTTTATTATAGATGCTTTTATTTCTCCACAACCAATGCTGTCCAGGTAGAAGTCTATAGAGTACAAGCCAATATGAACTCCCTTTCATATTTTGCTAATACAGCTTAAGCCCCTGCTCCTGGGTCATGGACCAATTATTTTCTAAATTATGTGTAAATTAAGTTTCTTGGAGTGATTTGCTAGTTTTTTCTAAGTACTTTCTTGTTTCTCAGCCTCCACACAATGATACTGTTATCACTATTCATAAATCAATGATAAGACAGTGTCCACCTTAGAGGACATTAATGTAGAGGATCAGTGTCCCTGGCAGTTCGTAGTTCTTTGTACTAAAATATTTGTTGTCTTTCTCCAGTACATAAACACAAAAGCCAGTCAAGTTTCCCTCACAAACATTCTAGAAGAAGGGGGCACCCGTGAGGGGATGGGGAAGGGGTGGGGTTGAAGGGAAGTTAGGATAGAGAGGGGACAAACATGACAATACTAGTTGGAAATGATCATTTTGGAAGGGACTAAGTGTTGAAAGTAAGTAAAGGAATATACTTATTGCAAACATAAGACCTAAAAGCAAATGGTGTAGGTTGGGAGGGAAACTCGGACCATTGATGGTCCTACACTCTTCCTACACACTGGTGAAGGAAGAGGTGTTGGAACATTATGTAACAGAAACCAAATCAAGAACAACTTTATAACTGTGTATATGACGGTTCTTCAATTAGAAAAAGATTAGCTTCACAGCAGTATGTTTCATAATACCAACCTCAGATTAAATTTCCAAGGAAATATTAAATCTTGGGTCTACATAGCAAACCCACATGACTGCAATTTGAAATTAGTTTTTCACACTTTTTATATGAAGGGCAATATAATATGCCATGTGAACCATAAAATCTCAAAATGTAGATATTTTTAAATAAGGTATTTGAAAACATTGTGTGAATTGAAGTTATCTAAGCTGATTCTTTTGGAAGATCTATAGCGGTATCACATACAAGTGTCGTTATCCTAACTAATGAGGAGTGGGAAAGCAACACATTATGAGTAGGAGACAGGTTTTTACTGAATACAAATTATAATTTTACCTGTTTTATTTATGAGTGATGCAACTTTGCACCTTTAGATAATGGATTTTTTTTTGTTCTTCATAATTTAAAAAAATAATGTAGTGCTGAATTCATACTTTGGTGAATATTTTTAAGGTATATGTAATACCCACAAAATAGTGACTGCTATTGGGTGAGTTGATGGCCAATATTTTATGTGATTTTGAAAGTTAATGGACAACTATTATTAGGAGATATAGTATCTTTGATAAATAAGGGTCCAGAAATTTTCACTGTATTCTATTCCAGTGTAGATAGTTTTAGCAGTTTAAGGGGGAAAGTTTTAGATTTGTCCTAATGCCCAAATTTGTATGAAATTATGATAAATGACTAGATTGACATGACATATTACAAAGGTGAGTACTCCTTTTACACTGACACCTTTGATTCCTTATGAACTATTATAAACTTAGTACTTTGTGTAGCGTCTGGAAAAAATATGTTTTTCAAAGCATTTTATATATTGTGGCTGAGTGATAGTACAGTGGGTAGGCCTTTTGCCTTGCTCAAGACCGGCCTGAGTTTAATCCTTGTCATCCCATATTGTCTCCTGAACACCTCCAGGAGAAATTCTGAGTGCAAATCCAGTGCGCTCACTAACTCTTGAATGCAAAACCCCTGAGCATTGCCAGAACAAAATATTTATGTGTTGAAAGAAATAGCAGTACATAAATTAATATTCATAAATAAAATAAAATAAACCTTTAAAAAGAGGAAAAAATAAAATTAAACCAAAAAAAATTTTAATGAATCACCATGAGATACAGTTACAGACTTACAAACTTTCATGGTTACATTTCAGTCCTACAATGATTGAGTACCCATCCTTCCACCAGTGCCCATTCTCCACCAGCAATGTTCCTAGCATGCCTCCCACCACCCTCACCCCATCCTCTCCCACCCACCTACATCTGTGTCAGGCACATTCCTTTTTACTCTCTTTCCTTTTGGGTGTTACGGTTTTTCAGTACAGGTATTAAGTGGCCATCATGTTTGATCTATAGTCTACTTTCAGCATGCATCTCCCATCCCAAATGAGACCTCCTAGGATCATACACTTAGTGGTCCCTTCTCCATCCCAGCAACCTTTTTCCCAGCCAGTGAGGTCAGCTTCCAAGCCGTGGAGTGATTTTCCTGGCCCTTACCTCTATTATTCTTGGGTGAAGTCTCCCATTCTGTTACTTTATTCCACCAATCAGTGCAGTCATTCTATGTCTATCCCTCTCTCTCTGACTCCTTTCACTTAGCATGATACTCTCCATATTTATCCTCTTTTGTTAGAAAAGTTGAAATCTAAAAGCATTTGTATATTAAAAAAATTCTTCTTTCAAAATGAAATATTACTAGTGATATTAGAGTGTAGTGTACCATTGGAACCTGAATGGTACAAACTATGTTTCATGTAACCACGTGTGACTAGTTAAAACTTAATAAACTTAATATTCTCATAAAGAGTTGGCTTTAGTATGATGTTATACTACTCATTCTCCATACAATTCCCGTTTCTTTCATCCTCAGTGAAGAAAAAAGCAGAATGACAAGGAGAGAGAATGAGACCAGAGTTTCTGAATTTCTCCTCCAGGGGTTCCCTGTTCCACCTGAACGTCAGGGTTCGTTCTTCATACTCTTCCTGGTCATGTACCTCACCACAATGTTGGGAAACCTGCTCATCATCCTGCTGATCCGGATGGACACTCGCCTCCACACGCCCATGTACTTCTTCCTCAGTGTCTTGGCCTTCAATGATGTGACGTTCTCATCTGTCACTGTCCCCAAAATGTTGATGGACATGAAGACGAATCACAAATCTATCCCCTATGCAGGGTGCATTTCTCAGGTGTTTTTTTTAATACTCTTTGCTTGTACTGAAAACTTCCTTCTTTCAGTGATGGCCTATGACAGGTATGTGGCCATCTGTCAGCCACTCCACTACACAACCATCATGAGACATGAGCGATGTGTTGCTCTAGTAGCGACATCTTTGATCCTCAGTTTCTTCCACTCTTTGTTGCACACCCTCCTTTTAGCCAGAGTTTCCTTCTGTGTCAACGTTACCATCCCCCACTTCTTCTGTGAACTCACTCCAGTCCTGGAGATAAGCTGTTCAGACATTTCACTCAATGACATGGTCATTTTCATTGAGGGAGGGATTTCTTTTTATGTGCCATTCATCAGTATCTTGGGCACTTATATCCGCATATGGGCCACTGTCCTGAGGAATCCCTCTGCTAAGAAATTTTTCAAAGTCCTTTCCACCTGTGGTTCCCATCTCCTTGTTGTGTCTTTATTTTATGGAACCATTCTTAAAGTTTATTTTTTATCCTCCTCATCTGTCACAAAAAGTAAAGACATAATTGCATCCCTGATGTACATGATAGTCACCCCCATGCTGAACCCTTTTATCTACAGCTTGAGAAACAGAGATATAAAACAAGCCCTAAATTTGCTCGCTAAGAAAGTCAAGTCCTGCTAATCAAATAACGTAATGTGAATGTATTAACTAGCATGCATTCAAATAATCAAGGAGACTATAGTACTAAGACTTCTATTCTTTGTGTTCAGTTGAACTTGTGTTCACATACATCTCTGAGATATTGACAAATTCTTGCTTCCCTCTGCTAATATACACCGGTTTTATTGCCCAGAATTACTTCAGTGACTGACATTTACTGAGCAATGATTAGAAACTATGGTATCTTATTTCAGCATGTTTAGATCTTGGGATTTGGAGAATAGTAAAGATACAAAAAACAGAAGTAAAGAACAAAACTCCCCCAGGTCTACTCTCCAAGAAATGCTCCCCTTTCTTTCTTTATATTGTAAGGATTCAGGAAATGATGTATCTAACAATTGTCAAAAAAAAACCCTAATAGCTTATATAAATCAGATTTCCAGTTAAAAAATTCTGAAATTCTTATTCAATCTTTCAATGACTTCTTTGGATTTACTTACAATAAAGGAATCATACCAAGTTCAAATAATTCTGTTATTCCTAATAAATAAATTATTTTTAAACTTTAGTAGTATTTTATATCTTGATGCATATGGTAGTTACAATGGATAACTACAGTGGTCATGACAATGGATATATGTGAGTATGTGTGTGTGAAAAAAAATTTAAATGATACACACCTTAATTATTTTCACTTCGTTTATGTATTCACTTTGTTTATGATTACTCAGTAGTATGAAAATTCAGTAGGAGAAATCACTTGTATCACTTGTCATCCCATTGTTTATTGATTTGCTCAAGCGACACCAGTAATGTCTCCATTCTCCACAAGCCAGACGAGCCTCACTCATGAAGGAAACAGCAGAGGAACCCAGGTATACGGGACTCGTGACTGAGATTTCCAAGCCTGCTTGGATGGGGACTGGGCCCCCTCCACCCAGATCCCCAGTTTTCCAGTGGCTTAGCAGTCACATCCACAAACTGCCACTAGCGCCATGTAATCTCATCAATGGTCAAGATCGAGAGACTATTAAACAAAGCTTCCAAAAGAGAGTGGTGCAGTTTCTCCCTCTCATGGAGCCTGGCAAGTACCGAGACTATGCTGCCTGCACTGCAGAGCCTTGGCAAGATACCCATAATGTATTCGATATGTCAAAAACAGTAACAATAATGGGTCTCATTCCCCTTACCCTGAAAGAGCCCACAATATGCCATTGGGCTATGCTAGCACGTGACAAGGACAAATGGACAAATGGAGACGTTACTGGGAGAAATAAAAAAACATGTCATCCTGAGACTGGAAAGGTTATGTGGCATGTGGGTATTTGTATAAAATTACATAATCTTTGTAAATTTGTGTAAAATTTTAAAACATGCTTTGTATATGATCTATATAATTTTTAGTGAAGATAGTTTTACTTAAACAAAGCAGCTCAGAGAAATATGAGGGGAAAAAGAGAGAGGAGGATGAGAGAGAAATAAAAAGAGAGAGAGAAAGAGAGCTGTGTTAAGAGAGAACATGAGTTTCTCCAGAAAAAAAACACAGAGATAGGCTTTGGGTGAAGGTTGATCACAATTTTTCCAAATTGTCTTGGCAGTGGAAACTTTCTTCATTTTACAAGAATATGTGGCTTTGAAAATATAATGCCACACACATAGGTGAAATACAGGCATAGGTATGAACTAACTTTTAAATGTGTTATATTTATATCATTAATATCTGCATATATAAAATGAGTATGATCATCTTGGTAAAGAGATGCTTCCATTTTTATGTCTTGATTTTATTCTCACATCTCTAATCTTTCTTTACTTACAATTAATTCACACAAAGAGAAAAAAGTCCTTTATTTCATTGCAGTACTATAAGAAATTTACAGCACTGTCCTGTCCTAAGCTATCACTGCAAGGCACTCAAGTGGACAAGGGTATGGGAAATTATTGGCCTGTGATGTCCATTCATGACTTATCAGGAGAGTAAGTCCCAGAAGAGTAAATGCAGTGAACTTTCTGAAGGACAATCGAGGGAAAAGCATGATTAACAAGAGAGCTCTAGCACCAGGAGCCATGCACAACCCCCCTGAGAACCTCTCGGTGAGGGCCTCTGTCCCATATACTGCCTCTGAGACCCACTAGTTGCTGCCAATTTAAATTCCTACAATCCAGTTGCACTGACCAGACTATGAATTAGTTCCACACTACCAGAGAAAAAAATTTAATCCCCCAGGGACCACAGAGAAATCCATTATCACGGGGCTTGTTAGCCTCTGTATGTATGTTGTCCTTCACTCACTGCACACACTCTAAGGGCAGATGGGAAACCGCAGGGAATCAGGTCAGTACTCAGATAATCAAGAACCTAAAGCTCCTCTGTAAGCACCCTCAAAAATCTAAGAACAATGGGAAAGCTAATGAATTCAGCTGTATTGATGCACAGGGACAGAAGTTCAAGCAAGCTCTTGAGTTCCTCAAAATTCTTCAGGCTGTGAAAACTCTGCAGTGCCCTAAGGAGGCAGGTGTGGGGGTGGGGGGTTCAAATCCCCATGCTGTGGAAGTCATAGTAGCCACACTCGCACTCCACAGCGGATGCCATGCCAAGGGCCCAACTCTACTGCTTCATGACTAATCTCTGCAGAGATGACAAATTGATGAAAATTCCAGGTACACCAGTTTTCAGGCTGAGAACGTGAGGTCTTCTCAGAGTGATGGGGGGCAGGCTACGCCCTACCACCATATTTCCAGAAGTTCTAGCAGACATACCCATATCCCACAGCCACTGTCATGTAAACTAACGGCCCACTTATATATCCCAGAGTTTCTGGAGCATGCGGCTACATTTGTTGATGCACAGTACCTCCAACTTCTACAATACTGGCATTCCTATGAGCACATCCAATTTGAAGGGAAACTAACATAAAAAACAACAATACTCAATAAAAAATAACACAGAAGTTTCAATTAGCATCAAACAGCTTGGTTAATCCTCAGACATGGTTTAATGACCCTATGGTGAGATACAATAATTTTCACAACTTCTCTTTTACTAAAATATTTTTGGATAATCCATTAACTATTTAATTGTAGCAATATAAAATAAATTATTTTATACCTGCAAATGGGGCAGGCTTGGGAAAATCGGGGCTATGGTAGAGGGAGGTCACACTGCTAGTGTGATTGGTGTTGGAACATTGAATGACAATAACAATTTTGAACAATTTTATGAGCAATTTCATAAGTCATGATGTTTTAATAAGGAATTTTTTTTAAATTCTCAAACCTTAAAAAGAATGCCTCAAATAAATACTCTATGCGAAGCTGATGGAAATGAAGAAGTCATTGGAAGATAGAAATCCAATCAACTTATATAATAATTTATTCAGGGTCTGAAACAATATATATGAATGGAATTGAAGGAACTAAAGAATACTGGAGCGATAGCACAGCGGGTAGGGCGTTCGCCTTACACGCGGCCAACATGGTTGACCCGAGTTCGATTCCTCCGCCCCTCTCGGAGAGCCCGGCAAGCTACCGAGAGTATTCGATATGCCAGACACAGTAACAACAAAGTCTCCAATGGAGACGTTACTGGGCCTGCTCGAGCAAATCGACGATCAACGGGAGGGCCTTTACCTTTTTAAAGAATACAATAAACACAAAATAAATACAAAATAAACACAATAAATATGAAACTAAAAATGGCAACAGACTTCTGAACGTAAGAACCATATCAACAAACTTGAAGAAAAACACTACTTGTGAGCAATGTAGTGGCAAAGAGAAGTAAATTAATCTAAAATATTGTAAGATACTTAATATATAACACCAAGAGGAATGATCTCTGAAGTACAGGAATATTAGAATAGGAAAAAGCAAAAGGGGGAGAACAGACTTGTGGAAGAGTTAACATCTCAGAACTTCCCTAATTTCTAGAGGGAGAGTTATTCACAGACTTAAGAGACCCACAGAATACTGTACAAAATAGATTCAAATAGAATAACCCCAAGACACATCTCAATCAAAATGGCAAGAACTAAGAAGAGAGATTATTTAAAGCATCAAGAGAAAAGAAAATCTCAAATATAAACATAAGAATCACAACAAATCTTCTATATGAAACTGCATTAGCAAGAGAAGACTGGAATGACATATTCAAAGCACTGAATAGGGGCTGGAGCAATAGCACAGCAATTGCATACAGCCAACCCAGGTTCGATTCCCAGCATTCCATATGGTTCCCTGAGCACCGCCAGGAGTAATTTCTGAGTGCAAAGCCAGGAATAACCCCTGTGCATTGCCGGGTGTGACCCAAAAAAAGAAAATGAAAAAAGCACTAAATAAACAATTTTCTTTTTAAAATTTGTTTATTTATTTATTTATTTACAAAACTGCTCATGATTTGGTTTCAGTCGAACAAGCAATTTTCATCCCGGAGTCCATTACCCTGCATAAACTGTCATTTGAATTTTAAGGAGGGATAAGCAGGATATACAGTGAGTCTAAGGCATCAAATGACCCGGTAGATAATTAGATGCAGAAAGCACAATAAAACTCTGTAATAACTAATAGACTTCATTGCAAAACAAGATGTAAAGATAATGGGTATTGCGGATGATGAATGAGGAAGAATTTAGGCATAGATAGCTTTATAAAGTAAAAAATACTGAATGTTGGAAAACTACCACTCAAGTCCATAAAGACAACAAAATAACTTATTTTTGTCTAAATGTTAAACTACCTAAAGAAAGCTATGTTATTTAAAAATTATCAAAAGTCTATGCTAAAGGAAACACAGCTAAGACTCTAGGAAAAACATCTACAACAACAGAGACATATCATCAGATTATCTTCAGATTTCTGAGCAGAAACTCTAGAGGTTAAAAATAGGATGAAGTGATCTAATGATAAACAGGAAAAAATAAGAACAAGTCCAGAATGGACTGTTCTAAAAAATTAGCACTAAGTTATTAAGAGTAAATAAAGGCTTTACCAGCAAATGAACAGAATTCACCCAAGCCTGCACTCTTTTACAACAAAACTGTCAATGGAGTTATTCTACATAACATTAATTTCAAGTATGCAAAATCTTGAGTAAGAGGATGAATAAAAAGATAGATGTCTTTTTACACCACAACGAAGCCGATCAGTCCTAAATTGAATTATTTTGGTGGATGTAACAAAGATCCATGTTTAACACTGAAAAGCAGATTATAGACATGATAATAAGTAGGATGGTTATAGTTTGTGTTGCATTCTCACAGAAGTGTTGATTCTTATAGTTTTATGTATAGCCTTACCTCCGCATCACCAAAATGGCCAAGACTCTAGACCATCGCCAATTTTATTTTTAAATGAATCACCGTGAGGTGTAGTTACAGACTTAGAAACTTTCATACTTACGCTTCTGTCATACAATGATCAAGTACCCATCCCTCCATCAGTGCCCATTCTCTACCACCAATGATCCCAGGATCCCTCCCACCACCTCCACCCATCCTTCCTACCCCACCCCAACTCTGTGGCAGGGCATTTCCTTTTGATCTTTCTCTCCTTTTGGGTGCTCTGGTTTGCAACATAGGTATTGAGTGACCATCATGTTTGGTCTATAGTCTACTTTCAGCTCGCATGTCCATCCCGAATGGACCCTCTAAGCACCCTTTACTTGGTGGTTCCTTCTCTATCTTTTCCTCCAGCATGTGAGGTCAGCTTCCAAGCCAACATCACTCTTATTTTATTTCTATCAAAGAGTGTAATTTTCCCTAAAATTTATATTAAAGGACTGACAGTAGTACATGCTATAGAATGCCTAAGCTTTTCACTGGTGTGCTATTTTGAGATCCACCAAGTTGGGTATATTCAAAGGTTGTTTTGCATTTTCTTGTTTCTGATTTGGTCCACAAAAATTAAGCTGTAGCTGTATAACTCACTTTTTAAAGGATATTAGCTTTCTGTCTTATGGGTACACATTTAAGATGAAGGAGTTAGAACATATGGTACATATTTGATGAGAATTTTAAATAACTTCTTCCATTTTTCATATTTATCAAATCATTCTCCATTTTAGCAAATATCATAAAAGAATTTAAATCCCTCAGATAACTTCTGGAGGTTACTGTTGTTGAAATCAACACTCACATAGGTGTGATCAACATTTACTCTGATCTGACTTTATAGTTGTAACGTTACAGTAAATGTGGAGTGATAGCTTTATAATTTTGCTATCATTATTCAATACTTAATGCACTAAACACTTGTCTATGCCAAACATCTATTTCAATCTATTTCCTATTTAACATTTTTATTTATTTGGTGACCATATCTCAGGGTTCTCAGGGCTTACTCATGCCTCTGAACTCAGGTATCACACATGGCAATCTCAAAGCACAGCAAAGATCCACCCTCTCTAATATATCTCTGGCACCGTTAGACTATTTTTTTAAATTTTATTGTGAGTTTTTGAAATTTTTATACATTTTATAAAGGTGAGAGTTCAGTAATTTTATTAAAAGAGAATACACTGTAGAATTCTTTATATATTTTGGATACCAGTCCTTGATTTCATTATTACTTAGAAGTATCTCTCCCCCGGGCCAGCCCAGGGGGAAAAGGGCTCCCCCTAGGCGGCTTGGTGGCCGCCATCCTCCAGAGGCCACTGGACAGTCAGGTTTGGGCCCTCAGTGATGAGACACACGGGGCCTCATGGGATGGGGGTGGAGCCGGCCCCTTCATCCCCGTCCCATCACCACCCATGAACAGCCTTTCTGGCTCCTGATCAAGCTGCTTAACAGCCATGATCCCAGAGACTCAGGAACAAATATCAGAACCCAGCAGGTTTTGTCAGAAATCCCTCCAGATTTAAGTGTTAAAATTTTGAAATTTCAAAATCGCGCAGCCACTACTGCAGCCACGTGGCATCATATGTTATTCTTAACCAGTAATAGAAAAAAAAGTCTACTTTTGCCTTTTCAGCAGATCTGAGTGTTGGGATAAAATCCCAAATAATAATGGTAGGTCTGGTGCCAAAATATTGAATGTGATCAAAGTAGAGAGAGAGAGCAATGTGGAAATCATCTGCCCCACAGGTGGGGGAGGGTGTAGGGTAGGGTAGGGTAGGGGTATACTGAGGTTTTTGGTGGTGGAGAATGGGCACTGGTGAAGGGATGGGTATTTTATGGCCGAGACTTAAACCCAAAAGCTTTGTAACTGCTCTCATGGTGATTCAATAAATAACATTATAAAATATGAAAAAAGTAATTAAATTAGCTAATCAGTGGCTGAGTAAATAGCAGTACTCCTACATAAAAAAAGAAGTATCTCTCCCCTTTTGTGACTTATTCTTACATTTTCTAAAACTACTACCCAGAATGATATAATGACGATTTTAGCAGTCCAATATTCAAGTTTTTCTTTTACAAATCGTGATATATGCATTTCTATAAGAAAATATATTCCATTTCAAAGAAATAAAATGTATTTTCTTAATTTAGAAATAATTTTAAAATTATTTAGCCCCATGATTTATAAGCTTCCCATAATTTAATTCCTGGATCACAGTGCTACAACAAATCTTTTAAAATGTGTGCTTATTCATTGAAGGATTTTCTGCCATGTATCTTCTAGCTATTTTAACTTAAATTTTGTATTTAATTATATTCCTATATTCCTTTAATTTTTATTCATTAAAAATTCCTAATATTTAAATTGGTCCAGATAGGCATTAAGTAATTTGATTATTTCTAGCTATTTTATTCCTTGTGTAGAATTGCAAATGAATTATTTTCTAATATTTTCTTTCAAATGTTTATTATTTGTGTACACGAATAAACTATTTTAAATATATATTTTTTGTAATTTATTAAAACTTGAATTTTAGGTATGTACTGTGATATATAATACTCTTAAAAGAATTGTTTCAGGTATACATGTTTCCACACAATACCCCAAACCAGACTGTCATTAAACCACCATCTTGAGATCCTCTCTCATCCATTGTCACCAAAGCCGTCTCTTAGTCAATTCACTTCTGCAGCTAGATTATCAGGATATGTCACCACTGCTTACTTTTAAAATTCTGTTAATATGTATAAATTTATTTCAAATAAGAGAGGACCTCCACTGTGCAACCACCACCACATTCCAGGCCACTTTTCGGATGCTCAGGCCAAGCGTCATACATGAATGTAAGGTAAGGTAAGGTAAGGTAAGGTAAAGGCCCTCACGTTGATCGTCGATTTGCTCGAGCGGGCCCAGTAACGTCTCCATTGGAGACTTTGTTGTTACTGTGTCTGGCATATCGAATACTCTCGGTAGCTTGCCAGGCTCTCCGAGAGGGGCGGAGGAATCGAACTCGGGTCAACCATGTTGGCTGCGTGTAAGGCGAACGCCCTACCCGCTGTGCTATAGCCCCAGCGATGTATGTAGTCCCACGAAACCCAGATAATGCGAAACTTTATGACCTTGGACACTGGACTCAACGGGAAGAGACCGAAACAGAGATCCTCTGCCTGCTTCCCCTAGTCTCCGTGACTCAGGGATTATACCCATAAGTCACACACTGCTGGCACAAGATAATCTCCTCATTGGCCACCCTCCAGAACTCATGAATGCTCCTCCCAGATTGAAGTATAAAAGGAGGCCCCCAGAACCATGCCACCATACTCCAAGCCAGGCTGTGGGGCGGGTTAGAGCCCTCCCCACCCCAGCTTCAGCAGCTGACCTCCACTGCCCAACCACCGTCATGCTCCAGGCCACTTTCCGGACCCTGCTACCACTTTGCCGTGGCAAAGACACTTCTTAGCCATTTATGCCTCTTGGAGAGCCTGCCAAGCTACTGAGAGTATCCCACCTGCACAGGCAGAGACTGGCAAGCTCCCCATGGCATATTCGATATGACAAATACAGTAACTATAGATCTCATTCCCCTGGCCCTGAAAGAGCCTCCAATCATTGGGAAAAGAGGAGTAAAAAGAGGCTGCTAAAATCTCAGGGCTGGGAGGAATAGAGATGTTACTGGTGCCCGCTCAAATATCAATGGATGACAGTGATACAGTGATACAGGAAGAGAGGAATTATTTGTTATTTGTCTTGCCTTTGACTTCTTACCCTCCATTATGATACCTTCTATTCCCATTCCAGTGCTAATAATCTGCAGGATTTCATTGTTTCTCGAGATAACTATTATTCCATTGGGTATACATAGGATAGATTCTTTTTCACTCATATGTTCTCAGGTCTTAGCTTGCTTCCATATGTTGGCAACTGTGAATAGTACTGCAAAAAAAACTTAGAAGATCAAACATCTTTTCAAATGAAAGTTTTTAGATTCTTTGAGGCAGATGCTAAGAAGTGAAATCTCTGAGTCAAATGGAAGCTCATATCTCAATGTGTTGAAGTCTGTACTATTTTCCATAAGACTGAAGAAAAGGACATGCTCAGCAATAGTGGATGAAGGTTTCTTTTCCTTCACCCTCACCAGTGCTGTTATTTCTAGTCTTTTGGGTTTATGTTAGTCTCATTGGTGTTAGATGATATCTTCTTGCCATTTGCTTTGCATTTTATTCATGATGAGTGACAAAGGACACTTTTACATACGCCTATTGGCCATCTGTATGTTTTGAGGAAGTGTTTGTTCTGCTTTTTTATAATTAGTTGGTAGGTAGGGTTCTTTTATTTTTATTATTTTTTATGAGTGCTCACTTGTTAGCCCTTTGTCAGATGTGTGCATAGTGAATATTTTTCTGCCAGTAGGATATTTTTACTTTCACAATCATAAAACTGATTAATTTTTACATTGTAATTATGTTAATTAAAGTTTCATGCATATATATTTTTAGCTACTTATCCACCACCAGAATGCCCATATTCCCCCGCCAATATTTCAA